AATGTCTCCTAAATTTGAGACCTGCAGAACAACTTTTTTGTTTGTCAAGCCGCAGTTCTTGTAGGAATGAATCCTAGTGCCACAGGCAAGATTTTGAGTACTGTAAGCTTACTTTTAGTTTTGTTTGAATTATACTGTAGATCATTGATCTGATTAGTTCTAATTTAAATTGCAGTTAGAAAAGACTACATTTTCCGCAATCAACATTCAATTGTTTTAAAAGTCAACGAAGAAAAGTGTCAAGCTGGAATTTAAGATTTCATTCCCATGAGGAAAGAAACAACGATTAGTGAATTACATAAATAGACAGCAAAAGAAAAGCAAATAGGAATTAATGGATTTACAAACCTTCAGGTCCACAAGCTTCTGGATTACTAATGCAAGAATTTTGATAGCTTCCAAAGAAGAGAAAGGTAACTCCTTTCTTTTCAGTGACGTAAATTCCTTTGTTCACCATTCCTTCTACAATATCTAAAGGAAAAGCAAACTATAGTTTAACATTTATATAAATCAAAACTTCCTGGAAACATGATTTTAACAGACTCGTAGACCTTATATGTTTATCTTGTCCTAAGTATAGGCTTGTTTTTGTTGTATTTTTATTGTTGGTTTTCTTTTTTGGTTTTTGAGTTTGGTGGGGTTTGGGTTTGTTTGGGGTTTTTTTTTAAATGAAAGAGTTATCTGTATGGTTCTTTCAAGTTTGTAAAACATATACTCATATCCATCACTCAGATTCTTGATTAACTAAGACTGCTTGACAGAACCCCTACACCCAAAAATCATAATCTCAAAATAATCTGAACAAACTTTATGCTTTCAAGAGTCCTGAATACCAGACACATCACGGAGATATTTCTGTCTTACTGTTAGGCTGAGTTAGTGAAGAAATTCTTTAATCAATCAAAAATATAACAGAATAGTTTTTTTTTTCATTTTTGTCCCTTTTGAAAGGGACATTTTGTGATTAAAAGTCACTTTTAATTTAAAAAAAAATCTATGAAATATACTTGACAAGATAGATTCAAAGGCAGAAATGCCTGTCCTTTCCAGACATCCCTTAGTATGGCATCATTGTCATTTGGAGACTCTATATCTTTGTCTAACACGGATAATGACTAATTGTCTTGTGATTTGATTGCAATTTTCTTGTGTTCCTTCCATGAGAAAAGCACTGATGATTCATCTCCTACTAGCTAAAGCCTTCTTAATACTAAAAAGCCATGACAGTCCATTACAACAGGAAACCTCACTAAGGTCTGAGTCCAGCTGATAGATGATGATGGGAAGTTCATCACATTTGTCCCAAGATAAAAAGAGAGACTAATTTTAGCAATGAAGACAATAGGAAATGACAACCTCAAAATTCCACTGTGTTAAAAACTCTGCATTCCACAGAACGCAGAATGTTTTATCATCTGCTTCTGAGCGGACAACGTAATTGTTCAGTTTGGAATATCATGTTGTTACCATTGGTTGTGATGGTGTTTCCACAAGGATTGTGAAGATACAGGACCTTGGTTTTAAGACTTTTCTCTATAATTTCTTACGGAAGTGTTAAGAGTTGCTCCAAGGGAAACACCAGCAGTGAGAATAATCTTTTCCTGCTCTGAGGTGCAGGTTTTGGGTATCTTCCCCTCCCTATGAGGAAAAAGTCAACAAGTTCTGTCTCTAACTCACAGATAACATTTAGTTTCATTTTAGAATTTGAGTGTGTATTATGGAGTGAAGCAAGCATTTCTAATTTCTTCTTGAGTCACTTGAATTCTAAATTAAGCTAGCCAGAATAAATCCCACAAGCTAATGCATTTCTGTTTCCATAGCGCTTCCTTCGCCATTGATGTCACTCTTTTTAATGTTCATCCTGAATATATCTTATTATGTGAGAACTATGCAAATGGTCTATAAAGCAGACAAGTGAGGACTAAAAGGAATTAGGGTCATTTGAAGTTCATTACTAAGAGTCCACATTTTCCAGCATACTTTTAGTGTTAGAGAGTAGAAAAACTGCAGGTTTTATATTCTAATATAAACTTCCTAGTATGTGAGCAGCCTAAATGACAGTTCTACCACTTCCACCCTTCTCCTTAGGTCAGGTTTTCCAACAACTAGATGTGACTTAATATCTAATTGTAAAGAGGACAAGAGGTCACATTTCAATTGAACCTACACAAGTGTAAATCCTAGTGACATATTAAATTACTTCAAGCTTATGCTGATGTAGATGTAGCTAGTTTTCAATCTGTCAGGTTTCTGCCTGGAGTTGGCATTTACTGTTCTTCCTTTTTTTTTCCTCCTTGTGTGTCGATACAAAAAAAAAAAAAAAAAAAAAAAAAAAATTAAAAGGACATATGCATATTTTTGCTTGCTTAAAAAAAAAAAACAAAAAAAAACCCAAAAAACCCCACCACAAAACAACACTTTATTCAAAGATGTCATGATTGAAAAGATCTTACTTCCAGGCTTTGCAAATTTGCTTGTATTTGTCTTTCTTAATGTGTCCTTTAAAAATCACTATGAAATGGTGAGAAACAGATGGCTTCTTCTTTCTTGTCTTTCAAGGTTAAAGGGAAAAAAAAAACCCACAATCTATTTGTTCTTGTATGTTCCTCTGAAATGTCATCTCTGTTTCTTTTCAGCTTAATACAAATATTTTAGGTTTTGGAGGACTCCTGGGACTCATCCTCCCACGGGCTGCTTAGCATGGGGATGTCTCTCCCAGTAGTTCAGAATAATCCAGGTAACATTGCAGGAGCACTTTTTCAATTATAGAAAATTACCACCTGACCTCTTGAATCAAAACTCTGAGTTAACTTTGAATCCAACGTTACAAGAACTATCCAAGCTTGATAAATGCAGAACATAAAATACGTAAATCCTCACCTACAGTTGCAGAGAAGTTAGAGTAGGCAGAGTCATTGGTATATACAAAGGTAGAGTTATGGGAAGGAAGCACAGTGAAGTTGTGGATTCTTAGAGCTGGGTGGAACAACAAAAGAAAATATGAAAATAAGCAAAACAATGAATAAACACAATCAGTAATGAATTGACCAGTTCATATCTCTCAACATAGCACAAATCACAGATGTTGGTCAGTGGCCTTTGAAATTATCATACAACCACTCCTCCCAAGGACTTGTATGCACATGACTGTTGGATTCTTTAACTACACAAGTTGAGTAAATACAGTATCATTAAAACAATATTTTTTTTCTCCTTGCAATAACTGAGGAGGAAAAAAACTACTAAAAAATATAACTGCAGATGAAGGGCTCTGAAATATAATCATGCTGGTAAGGAACTTTGCATTTATAACAAAAATCATTATACTGGTGCAAAAAGCTGTGGGCACAGTTCAAGTACTATGTCCAGTTCTTGGTCTCCCAGTAAAAGAGAGACATGGACTTACTGGAGCAAGTCCAGCAAAAGGTTGAGAACGCTGGGACTGCTCTGAAGAGAGGGCTCAGGGATTTTATCAGTGTGTATCAACACCATACTGGAGGTGTAGAGATACTGCCAGACTCTCTTCAGTTGCATTTGGCGAAAGATAAGAGGCAATGGGCACAAATTAAGATACAAGAAATTCCATCTAAACAGAAGAAAAAATCTCAATACTTTATATCTGACAATAAAATTTAATTATCCATTTTATAAAAATTTTTATAATTTAACAGTATCTTGCACTGTAATTATTTACCCTGCACAGGCAAAAAGAGCTTGGTAGAAAGCCCATGAAAGTAAATAGAGATACATTGATTTGGGATTTAGACCAACTCACAGAAGGGTAAGGCAAATGCTCTTTAAAAAAAAAAAAAAAAAAGCGCACACAAAAACCTCACAACAAAAATGCATGGAAAACAAGGGGTCAGATGAAAAAACAGGACATGGTCACTTCTTTTATTTGCTATATTTTAAGCTGATTGCCTCCCTTCAATTGCTTCTACTGCTGAGAGAACAAAAAAAAAAAAATTTGCTGACAACTCTCTCACAACACAAATGCATTGAGAGATATAAATCTGGCTTCACACACAATGGCTTCAACAAATAAAATGGATTAACATGACGGACAGATTATGATGCTTCAAGGATTTAAGAGGAGAAACATGGAATGAAAATAATTGCATGATACAATGAGTGGAGAAACAAGACAGACTCCAGCAATAAACAGAAGAGTTGTGTAATCAGAATGGTATCAAAAACAAGCAAATTGTCACCTGCATTAGATTACAACAATAAAGAAAACTTATCTTGTATGTCAAAGTCAAAAATCAGATAAACACATAAAACTGCTGCTGGAGGCAGTTGAAATAATATCTGTGTATTATAAGACACAATATAAGCAACTGAGAAGAATTCGAACTATCCACTACAACATTAAGGAAAGAATTCAACATTGTCAGAATTGCACTGCAGAGAAAAAGTCTTTTGGCTACTGGCACCCTCTGCAAATAATAATGAGACAAAGTCCTCCAAACTTTTTTTCAGCAAAGTCATGCAGCTGGCGCCTTTATGGAGTTATTTAACACAGCGTTGTAAAAGGAGTCAGACTGGTGAGCCAGTCCTATTCCTGTAAGTGAAGCCTTGTAGGATCAGGAACTTTATATATTCTGCTTTCTCTCTTCCAAGATACAACTGAGAAGATTCCTGAATTTTGCTGAAATAATGTAATTTAACATAATGCAAAAAAAAAAAAAAAAATCTAACATCAATTGTAATTTTTCCAAGAGCTATATTTTATATCTCACTTTCAAGCACTTTCAAAACAACATCATCTTAACATGAGTGCCAAAACTGCTAGATATGGCATGCTTTACTCCTCTTGAAACTACGTGAAGCCCAGTGTCAGAAAGTTACTTTAACACAGCGTTAGAGGACTCATATGATAATTTTTGTAAGCCAAATTATGATTCTATTGAAGTCAATGGGAATGGTGCCATCAGCCTCTAATGGGAGCAGAATATTGCCCAAATTTCGTTCTGGTCAGTCAATTTCAATCCTTTCAGAAACTGTGGCAAAATGGGTGAAAGTTTAAGCTTAAAATACTTGAACACCTCTGGAATAAAAGCTTTTCGATATCTATGGATCTTTTCCCCATTTTTCCCACTTAGGAACAGAGATTGATGTTGCCATTTTTGGGTAATAAATAGCAATAACTCTGCACTTTTGTAACATTTTTCATGTAAGGTTGTAAAGGTCTCTAACACCCGATTTAATCTTCTGCAGTGATTTTTCTGGGTGAAGATATCAGTCACCAGCAGCTACCCCTTGCACTAGTACAAAGCAGTTCAGCTCTGCCGACAAGGTGGTCAGGCAGAGCGTGAGAAATGCCGGGGAATATACATCAGCCCAACCTGGAATTGGCTAAAACGTCAGGGAGGAAAAACAGTTCACGTGAAAACTACTAAGGGGCCTTTGAGTCTCAGAAAGAGGCAGAGCATAGCTGAAAATTCCATCTGAAAGGCACAGCCCTGTGAGCCCATAATGCTGAGATGGGATTCAGTGGTCCAGCCAAAGCTCCATCAACATCACCTTCACACCCCTGGGAAGCCCCCACCACCCTTCTTGGTCCTGATGTGAAACAGTTGAACCAGAAAACTGCTGGATCCCACCAGACTGCCTCGTATCATAATTCCCTTCGGGACCCTGCAGTCCTGACAACCGACTCTGTCAAACCAGTGAGTTTTGCCTTACCAAACCTCCTTGATTTTGCCCAATTGGAAGACGAATTTGAACGAATGCTGCGGCACTGCTTTTAAGGAAATATCCAGAAGTAGAGAAAAATTAGTAAGAAGTATTCAGATAAGAGCTTACAGTTCTCTTGCTATAGGTACTACGTGCAATTTTCAAAAGTGCACGAAGAATTTGGGCCTTTAACTCCTCCCAAAAAGCAAAAAGAAGCAGGTAGCTGCACTGCTGGCAGAGCCAAAGATCTCAGCCACTGAGCGTATCAGCGCATGTTATGCGTGTACCAAACCAAGTAATAACAATGTGATTTCAATGACTCTTTGGATCATAAACCTTTTCTCTTTATAACCTTAACAACACATAGACAGCCCATAAAATGTCTATGAATACTCTATAAAAATCAGTTCACAAATACAATAGCATTTGGACAGCAGAGCACTGCAAAAACATTAACTGAAAAAAAAAAAAAATATCAACTGCTGTGGTACTAAAGCTAACCCCTTCTTTTCTCCTGCTCGCCTTCTACCCACAGACTGCCACAAACACTTATGTTATTGCCATTTTCAACAAATCCTTTGTCTACCTCCATTTGTATCCCGAAACTCATGGATTCCATCCACATCTTCCAGTGGCCAGTAGTGGGAAGCTGATGCGAGAACTTTGAACCCTTTCAAGAAACACAATGGAAAAGGTTATTGAAGTAAGGCCCAACAAGGAGTGTAACAAGTCTCCACAGAGCAGAACAATAAAGGAGTTCAAATAGGTTAAGTTAAACGCGATATTTGATGTAAATCAAGTACTACACATAGGCAAAACTATAAATCAAAATGGCAGAGGAGATTAAAGCAATATATCTGATCGGCCACTGAGGAAAGCCTGTTTAAGTCTCAACTGATTTTCACTCTAATTGCACTTAAAATGTGTAACAATCTCTAGATAAATCTCTGTTAGTGCATCAGGCAGCGTTTGTCAAGGTAGCAGTTAAGAAGTCACCCCAGAGTAATTTCAAGCTCATACCGAGATTTTAAACACACAGTGGGCAGTGCAAAGCCCCGAGAAGGGAATGCACAGGGGAACGTCCAGCCTCTACAGCATACTACCGCTCCTGCCTCCTCCACAGGTAGCTCAGCTCTCTGTAGTTCAAGAGAGTAGGAGAAGATGCTAGAGAATTCCCAGGAATCTTATCCTCTTTCCAAAACCCACTGGAAAAACCGCTGCAACACTTGGTTCTATTAATCCAAGCTGTTTTTTCACCTTTGGTCTCTATGGAGAGACACTACTCAGACATAGTAGGGAGCAGTACTCAGCGGTGGAGGAGCTGCACCATGGGTGAGAGGATAGGTGCCTGTGCTGATGGTACTGCAGAGCCGAGCCTGCCTGATGCCTCCACATAACTCACACCTTGACATAGAAGAGCTAGACCCTTTAATGGAAGGAATTTGGTGTTCCTCAAGAGAAGGGGCTCCAGAGTATTAAGCAATACATGGAAAACAGTCCACTCCTGCCTGCGTGGCATCAGCTGTTTCTTCAGAACCTTCTCCACTGCACCTAAACCAGAACAGCTCCTTGTGGCTGACAAGAACATTTTGTTTTCCTAATGCCCTCCTTAGCAACAGACAAGCTGTCAAAAGCAACACATCTGTTGGTTTCCATTGGCAGATTGATCTGCACAGTCTAATTGATGAGTTTGAACAGACTTCAGGAGATGTGACTCCTCAAACCTGACCAGAAGTGGTCTGTCCAAAACCATCCCATTTTGCATTAATAATTCTGTTTCAAGGGCAGAGCATTAATAATGTAGGAAAACATGAAGAGAAATTTCTATCTTGTCAGCTGCAAGAAACCCTTTATTCTCAAAATAATTAATTTAACCAGTTGTGCTGAAATAAATTTATCATCTCCTATATCTAAAAAAGTTTTAGAAGGTTGATACAGATCTACTGAAATTTTACTGTGAATGTGAGTGAGAACGTGTTTTCTTCACCATCAAGGCATATCTTCCTTTTCGTTTGAGTTAATCTTTTCTTTGGGGGGTGGTGCGGGGCGTCGTGGGGACGAGGGATGACAGGGACAGAGGGAGCAAGTATTTCTGTTACACCACATCTGTAGTTATTTGCCCTGCAGTCATTTGTCATTCCCAAGCAATCCTTCAAGAACCTCAGGTGTGAAGCCAATTGAGATAAATTTCTTAAAAACCACTCCAGCTGTCATGCCCCATACAAAAGCTGCATGCACCATACACCCCAGTGTGCAAATTAAAACAAATCACAAGCAGTGGCCTTTGACATTTACAGTCTATCCCACACCTTTCTTCACTCTTGAGATCAAAACACCTTGCCTATTTTATAATTGTTCTATCATTTTAGCATCCTGGATACACAAAAAAAATAATTCTTTATCATGGATATGAAGGTGCAAAAATTTTATTTGCATCCTTAAACTGCCTAGCCCCCACAGTGGAGATGAGTTTGATGTCCTCCATCCTCACAGCACAGTTTCAGAGCTGTGAACCAGAGAGGTTCCCTAAGACCTTTCTATTAAGAGCGCAAAGCTGATCAAATTGCTAAACGTCACAACAAGCAACTGTAGATCTGAGAGCACAGAACTAAAAGAAGCTCTGCATCTTGTGAGGATACACAAACTACTCAGACTTGCTTCCAAAACCACCTATACCAAAGATATCTAACAAACGATCCATTGATCAGGATATATGATTGGCCCGCCTATCTGGAAATGTTTGCAGTTGTCAGAGGTTTTCCCCCAGGGAGGGAGCGCGAGTATAAACAGATAAGATGGGGATGTCTTTAGAGAAATGGATTCTACGACTGGATGTTTCCTTTGAATATCTGGAAGATAGAGGAAGGCACAACAGCTAAAAAAAGGAGGAAGCTACTGCCAACATAAGAGAATAACGACACAGAACAAGCACGTACAAAACCCCGTCTGAACATTCCAGGGAACCCAAACTCAACTAAGCTGAGCATGGCAAGGCACATCGAGGAACAAAGTTTTTGCATTTACATAAACTAAATCTGGGTACGGGCTTAGTTCTATCTTCAAATAACATATTCTAGCTGCTGCAAAAGAAAGGAAAGTTACAGATTTCTGTAGTATTAAGAACATCCACATACACAACCTGTGCTGATGTACCTCCATCTGACTTTCGTCAAACTACCAGTTCCATTTTGCAGAGCACACAACACGCCTGCTGTTTCACAGTGAGCTTGTATGAAAATATCTCTTGCTCCCATTAATATCTCCCTTTTGTATCAGGGAAAAAAAAGTATTAACGTTAAAAAGAAAATAGAGAAAAATAGAAAAGAAAAATCTGAGGAGAAAATTATTTGATGCCAAAACACTGTGTCACAACGTGGCACATGTATTTTATTAGTAGCAGCAGTAGCAGCATCACGACAAAAGCATTGCCATGGTTGGCATCAAACACATAAGGAAAAGCTATATTCTAAGGAGCTGACATTTAAAAGCTAGAAAAAAATGGGAAAAGAAAATGGGAAGGGAAATAGAGGTACAGCAAAGTGAATTGCTTAGAGACACCCTGCACGTAAGTGGCTCTCTCAGCTCCCAGTTCTGAACTATACAAAGCCATGCTGTTACTCCACTTCCAGACAATCAGCCCTGAGGAGACCTCTGAAAATAATTACCTGTTGCCTTGAATTCAGCTTATATTTGCAATACCCTTTCAACAGGTAACTACTCAGTGTTTAGGACAAAATCACAGGACTTGTTTACAGGGTAGATCAAATCCAGAGCGCATCGCGCGCAGTTACGCTTCCCCACACGCGCTGTACTACAGAATTCCTGTTCTGTAGCTTGCCCCTTTATTGTGGGAGGCTTTTTTCCCCCTATTGTTCCATCAGCTAGAAGCCAGTGGTCCTCATCTATGGGAAATGAGACTATTTCTTTGTTTTTGCGTGAAAATAGAACAAAAGAAACCGATCAGGCTGAAGCTACCACAATAGCAGACAACATGGCTTTTCCACATCACCCTGTATTTTATTTTGAAAATAATTACATATGGTTAAAACTTGAAAGCACAAAGCAATACATGAATTGGGAAAGCAGTAAAATTGTACTTGTACACCACCATGAGGCTTGAGGTTAAACTATTTATATAAACAGAGGAATTCTGCAGTTACACACACAGCCCCCAAAGCAGCTTTGAGAAAGTTTTTTCTATATTGAAAACAGATGAGAGATCCTTAATATGATCTATAACTGATTTAAACTTGAGCATGAAGGCTGGCAGGAGGGTAGATGACTTGAAGTCATGCCAACGTACTGCAAAGTACACAAGCTGGCATATCTAACTGCAAATCAATGAACTGAAACTGGGGAGCACTAGGACAGCGAGGAAAAAAAGAAAATAGTCTGTGTAGGGGTCTGCTTCAGAAACTCATGCTCAAGAAATGTAATAATAAACAAACACTCTACATACGATTTCTCTACATATCACATACAATCAGCTTTTCTCCAAATACATTTCTATGTAGAATATTTAGTAGGTAGGTTACTGAATTTAAAATTACTGGGACAGCCTGATACTTTAGACTTTATGACATTTTTTAATACAGAGCTGACATTCAAACGTAGGATCACAGTTTCTTTGGAGCTACTAAGAAAACGAAAAATACAGACCAAAAAAAAAAGCAAGTAAATATTTCAGCACACTGTCATAAAATGTAAATAGAACATTCCTTACCTGGGTGTTTGGGCAGCTGGGAATAGTTTCCATACACCTGCACAGAAAACATTACATGATGAGACAGAGTTCGGCAAAACTTGCTAAGAGGAATCCAAATAGATCTCAGTACTGACCATACTCAGAACATTACCTGATACTTGTACTGAAATAAAATCAGCAAAGAATAGTGACAAGAGAGCAGGGATAATAAATTCTCCATGGTCTATTTAAGGTTAAAAGTACAACTGAAATAAAATCCCTGTAATATTTCAATCATAAGTTTTCCTTTGCTATTTTTTGTGTTAAAAGAGCCATTTTCCATGCAGGTTCAAAAAGTCCATTCCTTCAGTGATGGTAAAATATCCTTCCAGATATCCCTTTGAGTAGTATTCGCTTGCTTCACACTTTGATCTCTTCATTTAACCATAAATAAATTACCGTGACTGGAGGAAAATTAAAAGAAATGTGCATCAGATCCGAAAGTTGTACTGCTCCATGGACAGAAGTCAAATATTCCTGTTATAATCTGTGCCAAAAAGAAAATATCTTGTTTTCAACTTTCTTCCTTTGGTTGCCTTTTCCTTTCAATTACTTTTACATTGTCAGAGGTCTGAAGCCAGTTTTACTTTTGCTAGCAAGAAAATGTACTTCCTTATAGCACACAGGGCGTAAAACTCTCACGATTTCCTCCGAAAGTGAGCTGAATAGAGCTGCTCACTCCTCGCTCGTCCAGCTCACGTTTGCACCTCCATCCCAGATCTTTTTGGGTGGAGAGCAAGTCGGAGTGATGTCATGCTTTCTTCTCAAACTTTGTCCCATTCTGGTACTCTATTTATATCACGTTGCTGCTGCCTCTTTTCTGGGTCCTAACACCAGCCAGGCAGGAACAAGTGGAAACAAGTCAACGTGCTTCAGCAAACAGATACAGAGATTGCTGCTCTTAGCAATCTGCACGCTTAAAGAAGGCTCAAAGCCAGAAAAAGTGTTCATAATGTAAATGCTTAAGAAAAATAAAAAATGTTTTGGACAGAAATTTCTGAAGGAAAGCTAAGATGTATTTACTAAGTTAACAGATTGTGTTTCTGTCTAAAGAAGCACAACATTTAAAAATACACTGGTTTAAATCAGATGGTCCTCTGAGGGATTAATTTTACTATGGCTCTGTCCAGAAGGGGAAACTGAGGCATTAGCCATTTCGCTGATTTGCTCAAAGTTGCACAATAAAAGTAGAAAGATCTAAGAAAATACTTCCATAGTTTCCACTTTCTTTTTTTTTTAATAAAAAATAATTACAGTTGTGTATTTTTTTAAGATCCTTCCGATGACATAAGGAACTGCGTCACAAATGTTAACCATCATTTTATACATAAAAGAAAAAGAGCGGCTAGAACTAGTTGATTTACTCTGCTCCTCTATGGTAAAATCTTGTTTTCAGTTCCCTTCAAGTTCTTTACTTTCAATGAAATAAACTGAAGGAGTAAAATTTTTTTAAAAATCTGGTAAGCTCATCAGCCCTGTTCACCTCTCCCCCGTATTTCCATATCAAGCCCTTCTGTATCCTCATGAGTCCTTTAAAGGTGATGTAGGCAAGATCAGAAACTAAAAATCTGAATCAGACCATGCTAACATCTCAGCAAAATTCGAATTATTTTAGTTACCTTTTCTTTTGCCAAAAAATATATTAATGGATTAGATCTTATTTTCAGCCCCAGATGCTTACTCACACAGCAAAACGTTCTCTGCCCAAAATCAATGGATGCACAAGATACCGATCTATAGACAAGTGACCACATGCTCCCACTTCCGTGCACGTCACTGCCCATCTATGACTTATCTTCTGACTTTTAGCTATCTTCCCTTCCCTGCCCATCCATTTTGTGACTCTCAGCTCCATCTTTTCAGGTGCCTATATCAGCCTGGTTCCTTTTCTTAGCTCTATTTCTTCCAGAATATTAACTCTCTTGTCTACTTCTTAATCATAACCTCCGCACAGAACCAGAGTCAATTATAACTTCTAGGATGAAACAGTTTTCCACTGACACTTTCTATAGAGATTCTGTAGGAGGAAGCCTGGCATGTTGGTAGCAGCCGTGGCCCTGATTTACCCGGCTGGCTCCCCAGTGTACACTGAACTCCCAAAGCTTCTGGTAGTAACCAGCTCTTTGGAGACGACTGGTGAGTAGGTGGGACTCCACGGTCTAGGACTGATGAGATTAAAATTAATTTTGGAAACCTCAGGACATCCATGCTGCATGAATGCTTCAATGTTACCAGAGTTTAATATTACAAAATTTCTGGGTTGAAATAAAATTTGTATTTTGTTTGTGACCCTGATTTAGGACCTACAACAAAATAGTTTTGAAAATTTTGAATTTCAGTTCCTACAAAAATTTAGCTTCCTACTTAGTTGTAACCAGGCTGATTTTGGCTTACTTCCTTCTAGGTTTTTTTAGACTCCTTCCCTTCCACAAACTCCTCTGCATCCTGAAGAAAGAGGAGGAATTCTGTGTAAAGCCTAGGAATTCTGCATCACGCACTAACAAGTAGAGCCACCCTTAGAAATAAGAGAGAGTTGCAGCTAAAAAATGTTGAGAAAAGCTAAAATGCAAAAAGAAAAAGACAGGAATTTGAAATATTTGCCAAAAGGGGCCTGTCAAGGGAAAGAATATGCTTACCAAAACAATTGTGAGAATCCAAGAAAACATATTCCCTGCCAAAAATTTTAGTGGAAACAGCAAATTGCAAGCAGACATTGGAGATTATTTGCAGAAACAAATTTGGAATTTATTCCTGTGATCCTCTGGAAACCTGAGCTGAACAGTCCCAGTGTTTCCACCACAGACCAGAGGCAGCACTGGGCATCTCGCATGCAAACCAGAGCAACCATCCCAATGCTCGGGAGACAAACAAGCCCAGTGGATTGCTCTTGAGTAACCTGCGGATCAAATAATGTTCATTGAAAGCACTTACACGTCAATAAAAGCACAAAGGTCTGCAGGTGCCGAGCTTCCGGGCAGGCTGTGCTCAGCCCGGGGAGAGGGTTCTCCCCACCCTGGGACCCTGCTGGGGGAGGGAGGGAGGAGAAAGCTGTCACCCCCATGTCACTGTGCTGGAGGGCCATGGAGCTTCTCTGGATTTTCTGTCCCACTTCAGCACAGAGCAGGGAGAAGGCCAGGGAAGGGCTGCTCTGCAGCTGGGACGCTTGCTGACAGGTAGAATGAGTTCCCCAAATGAGCAGAGCAGGATGCTTCATGATCTGTATCAACAACCAGAGGCTTGTAAAACAGCACTGGGAAATTATATACCCCAGGTTTCTCTCCCCCCCCCCCTTTTTTTTTTTTTTTTTTTACACTTTTTTTGGGAGGTGGGGTTGATGGACTTTCAAAGACAAAGATTTAACAAAAAAAGAAAGCTCAAGCGTTCTGTGTTGGCGATGTCTGCTGCAACACTTCCACAGCAATGTGAGTGTGCCTTATCGTGCAATAATTCATCTTAACACTCAGTTCCAGCTTCCCTTGTTCACCTTCTGTCCATTCACGATGATATTATTGAAACAGAAAATTAGCAAGTGCTCTAGCCAACATTTACCAGGAAATTAAAAATAACCTGAAGTTAAAAATCTTTATTGCTAACTATGTAAATATAAGCAGAGAAAATAATCATTTAAAGAACACTTTACACTGCCTAAGACAAACAATCTGTAATACAGCTTTCTTCCCTTGTTTTCACTGGAATCATTAACTTCCCACATGAGACCTGATGCATAATTGGGATTGAAATGTTTTACCAAATATCCTAGGAGTATTTTAAGAATCAATCTAACATAACAGCTAAATTTTGTAAAACTTCCCTAACACCACAATTTCTACTAATAAACCAGTAAATATTCTGGACTAAAATGACTCCCTGGTCAAACTATTTCTCTGTCAGTAACAGAAATTATTTACAAGGTGGTTACAACTGAAATATCACCACCCATCTGCTTAAATTTGTAATTTTAGCATTAACTTTTCTGGCTTGTCATGGACATCCAAGGTAAGTCGTAGAACTGCTTTTACTTCTCTTACACAAAGAGCATCCCACAGTTTTGTAAACAATTCTGCTGTGCTTTGCTACAGGGACCATCCAGGGCAACTCTCTCAGCTCTCTTGGAACTATTCAGATGTTCATAGGCACAATTTGATTAGATTTGCACATCTGCAAGGAACCAGATCTTGTATAAAACTTACCACCTTCTCAATACACACCTTTGTACCAGCACAGTTATTTTTGCAATGAGTATAAACTATTTACTCACAGAATTTTAAAGCAGAAGCAGTTTCACAGATAAAGAGATCACCTCTAACACTGTTTATTACCTTTTCTTTATACAATCTTACTCCAATGGAGAACTTTGAGCCCATAACAAATAAGAGTTTTGAGGGGTTTTTATTTAATCATCACTTCTGCACTTTAAAGTTATTCCTAAACCTATGAAGTTGGCCTTGCACAGGGCTGTAGCAATGGGAACAGCTCACACTAGCTCTCAGACCAAGTTTGGTATATCCACTACCAAGGCAGCATGTTGTTGCTGTACTTAAACTCCTGCAGTGCTCACACTCAACAGGAAGGTCAAAGACTTGGAGAAGTCCTCTCCCTCTAGTCACTGTGCAAGGATGAATCACAACGAGGGACAGGGCAAGGAAGCTGTCCCTGCTGGCAACTGCACTGCCAACACTTGATGGAGAAGCAATCTGTGTCATTCACCCCGTCCTTCTTTGACTGGTGCATCCCTGTCCAACAACCTGTCTGCATTCTGCTGTCACCTTCCGAAACCAAGGACTGTACCCTCGGCTGCCCCATTAGACTGTTCCCCCCATTCTGAAGTTTAACTCTCTGCAGCCGAAGCCCCTTCACTATGGTTCAAACAGAAACACCCAGGACCTGGAGTTAAACTGACAATATGGTTTATAGGGAAGAAAGGGAGCTCAAAACTCCTTTCTACTAGCTACAACTCATGTATTCACAAGCTGTGGGTATCAGTACCTGCAATGCAGACTCAAAGCTGTCTCTTCCATTGGGGGGCTTGTTTCAGCCTTTCAAAGGAGCCGTGGCTTGATCTACACCAGTTCTACCCAATTCACTGAGACTAGGGCTTCTACTTCGTTGTTGTTTGTTTTTTTTTTTTTTAAAGCAGCTATCTGCATATTGTGACGGACAGGTCCATCCTGCATTTGGCAG